ATTGAAATAAACGCGCGAACGTAGATAACTAAATATACAATTGCATGCAAACAAAAAGCGCGTCTCGATCAATAAAGGTAATATGCTAAAGCATACAATCTGGTAGTAAGAATTTTTTAATGCAATATTATTTACTGTTTGATTTACTCTCATAGTAAAAGATTCATTATACAAATTATAAAAATAAAATATTCTGAAATGATTTCATTAAAAAATAAACTTGTAGATTACATAGGACGGAGATCAAATGTATGTTGAACACTTGGCTATTTGGTTTTAAAAGATCATTGGGATTCGCGTAGAGTGTGAGATTTTGTAGATTTCACAAGAGATGTTAAGAGTAAAGTAAAATACGGCTTACCTTGACGTCGAAGGCTTCAACATGAGTCCGTGGCACACCGTTCATTTTCCAATAGGTTAATGCTCCCGATTTTCGGTCAATTCTCAATTTTTCACGTAGATCTATTCACAGGCACGTCGTTGTAAAAAGTCCACTTTTTCAGGCAAGATCGACAACGAGAGAGTACAATATTCAATGTTATTTTTTACTTCGGGACCGAGAATCTGCGTTCTGGATATTAATAAACTCCCTATTGATTTTTGTCACACATGTCACAATTCAAGAACTTATTTACGCGTAATTATTCGCAAATTTTGCGAACATTAATATAAAGTTGAGTGAAGCACTAATATTCAAATTATTACCGTCATGATTGGTGATATTATAAAAGTAAAAATGGTTCGTTAAATAATAACAGGAATAATTTCGTCGAACAATGTAAAATGATTTACAATTTATTCCGTCGTTTCTTACGAAAAAACACCGCGCGACATTTGAGCGAAGAATGCGCATTTCTATCTGCGAGACGCAAGATTTGAAACGCGACATCTCGAGGACGCACGCATGCGCATCACAATGCTCATGAGCACGTGCTACCCGAGCACGCGCTCGTTTTTGTACCTACTTGAAAAAAATTATTTTAAAAACTAGGCTAAAAAAGGAAAATGCGTGTGTGTGTGTGTGTATTATTAAAAAATAAATATTACTAATATA